AAGGCTGCGGACTGGGCAGGGCGACTACGGTGTGTTTGTCTGTTTGTTGGGTTTTGCAACAATCCCCGTTTTGCTTGTGTGAGGCTGTTGTTACATTTGGCCTTGCTTTCTTTCTTTTTTCTTTTTTTTTCTGCTGAAGGTTGTTCTCGGCTCTGCCCTCTGCAATGACCCTGTTTTGCACGTAAGTGCTGGTAGGCTGGTGGTGTCGGTGATCTCATCACCTTTCCCCTCGGATCTCGCTCCTTCACACACTTTCCCCTCTGCCATTTTCACACCTTTTTGCTACGTACAACGCAGGACTGTGCGACGCTGTCCGTGACGCCACGCTGGCAACAACCACATACGAATGCAGGTGCGCTTGCCACTTGTTTGAGTGGTTCCCTGGCGTGCTCTGGTTTTGTCGTGAACGCTGTTGATATTCCTTTCCTTAGATGGTTGCCATCTCAATGCTGCGTCATGACTTCAATTACATTGCAACCTGCACCTTCATGCGCTTGCTCGTGCGCTTTTCTTCGTAGCTCATGCACTCCTCCTCTTCATCAACCAGGTTCTCGCTTGCCCGCATGTTTGGCCCCGGTGCCGACGTCACAACGGTAAGTAGCCGCGATTGAATGTTGTTTCATGCCCCAACAATTCACGATCCGCACGCGAGCTATCAACCAGCACTCGTTTCGGGCTGAGAATTACGTGTCAACAAGATGAATGCCCTCCCGCCGCCCTTTCTTGGCTTACTGTGTCACGGTGGTATTGCGCTGCGATGTTCTTTCCACCTTATCGTTGGCATGTTGGTTACGTCAGATTGGCGCGAGCATCACTGTGTCAGACGCAGACGCTGACGATTACCTCACCTCTAGTTCCGATCCGCCTTTTGTCATCGTAAGTGCTGTAGTGCTTGACTCATCGTGCAGTCAAAGACATGTCATTGCTGGCATTAGCCAATCCAAATGCCTGTTTTTCTTGCGTGCTTTGAAGCAGCTTGCAGCTTCAACCCTTTGCGCCTTTGCGTTGTCTGTGTTTGCAGCTGATGTCACCAGATCAAGAGATCACGCGTCGTCTTGCCTGGTCGGTGCTTTGGTTGCTCTCACGCCATCTTCCTTGGTGCCTTGGCTCTGCATGCGCGTTTTGCTCTTCACAGGCGTGGTCCGGCTGGGCTCCGGACGCAATCATGAACGGCGCAGAGGACTCCTCAAAGATGGGGCTCGTCAACTTCAAATGTCAGCAGCCGTTTTCGTTTGTCAGTGTGAGGTGCTGTGAGGGAAGAGTTGGATGCAAGTGGCGCACGGGCAAAGAGAGCTAGAGAGCGAGCTAGAGAGGGAGGGGGTTGATCATGACCACTCTTCTTGCAGCAACTACACTGTATTATGTGTGTGTGTGTGTGCGTGTGTGTGGGGGGGGGGTGTTGCTTTGCCTCTCATGTCCATGTCGCTTTCTCTATTCTCTGGTGTCTTCTCTCACCGACATTGCACACCGCGTCCACGCATACCTATGCGCGTGCAGCTGGGGCATGCACGAGCACGCCTGCACGCGTTTGGTTTCGCGAGCCGCGTCTGAAGAACCTGAAATGCACCGATTCAAAATGCGCGGCAGAATGCAGCGACAGCAACTACGTTCCAAGCAGTACCTTCGAATGTGTGGTGCGTCCCCACAACAACAAGAATCAACTCGGTTGTCTTTGCTTGCTTGCTTGCTTGCTTACTTACTTACTTGCTTGCTTGCCTGCCTGCCTGCTCTGTTCTTCCGGACATTTTGGACATCTGTGTACGGTTTAACGTCTCATTGCCTTGCTAATTTCGTGCTTTCACTCGTGTGCGATTCATTCATTTCAACCAACTTTCCAACTTTCCAACTCGTGCTTCACTGCCAGAGCGGCATCTGGGTGGGCGACGTCACCTGCTGGCGCAACTTCAACGGGTACCACTCACAGTTTCATTTCCTGCGCACGGTAAGCGCCTGCTTTTCCTTCTTGCAGTGGCATCTGCACAACTAGACAACTGTACAACATGCTCCGGCTCAGATGCTAGTGCCTGTATGTGTTCATGCAACGTGGGTCGCCGTTATCATTGGCGCACCCACTTCTCTCTCTCGTCACCTCAATTTGGGCTGCTTTGTTTATCCCGTTTTCCGCTGTTGCGCACGCTTATGTGCAGTATGCTCCGTACGACGTGAACGCCATCAACGTTCTCCTGAAGGAGAATGAACAAAACGTTCCCAGCGGCGCCGTGCACCGCCGCGTGTTCTCCTGAAGGAGAATGAACAAAACGTTCCCAGCGGCGCCGTGCACCGCCGCGTGTTTGGCGTTGGCGGTGTTGAACACCCACCCACGGTATGCAGCAGTGCTGTGTGCGCGTGTGCCTGCCTGTCTGTGTGTTGTCTTTCTGCTTGCGCCCCTTTTCTCTCTCTCTCTCTCTCTCTCTCTCTCTCTCTCTCTCTCCCTCTCTCCTTCTCTATGTTTGCTCGCTTTGCTTGCGCATCGTCATTTGTGTGCGCACCGCATCGCATTGCGCAAAAGTTCACACCCACTTGATGCTTGCACGTTCATTTTCGCAGGTGTACAAGAACGAGGAACCCATGTGCGTGGAGGCGCTTGGCACTTCCGTGAACCTTCAAGCCTGTCCTGCTGGCAAGGAAGTTGTGGCCTTCACCTCCGTGCAATACGGGCCTGGCGTCTCTTGTGCCAGCAAAGTGCCAAGCAACGTGCCCACAGGCTGTCCCATTCAGTATCCCCGCGATGACGTGAGTGTGGGCTGTGTACATGTGGGTGAGCATGTGTGGATGAACATGTGAGGGTGAACATGTGTGGGTGTGGGTGTGGGTGTCTGGTGTACATGTGGATTTGTGTGCATATGCGTGTGCACGCATGAATTTGCGCCCACGTGTGTACGCCCCCGTCGGTGTTTCACGTGTTGCTCTTGCCGAACTCGTTCGCGTTTTGCTCGTGGTTTTCATCATTCCACACGCACGATGGCTTACTTGTCGCAGGTGTGGGCGCAAAGCCGTGCCGGTGGGTTTGTCACTGCGCAAACAACCCTGACCCCCTTCGCGTCCTGCGAAGTGAGTGGAATCAGACGTGCCAAGATTGAGTATGTCACGACTGTCGTTGTCTCGCAGCTTTCTCTTGTTGGACCTCGCTCTCGCACCTGCACGTGTGCACTTATGTGCCTCTTCTGCCTCGAATGAAACCCACATTGCACGACAGGCCACGTCCAAGCTTGGTGTGCACTACCTGTGCGGCAACCAGCCAACCGCAGAGGATCGAAAGTTTGAGTGGCGCGATGGAAAGCCGTACTCCTTCAACATCAACCTGTGGAACACAGACGAACCCAACAACTACGACTTTTTCACCCGCGTGTTCTACCTCATCTCAGAGGACTGCATCGGTGTGTGTGCGTGTGCGCTCGTGTGTGTGTGTGTGCGTGTGTATGCGTGTCTGTGTGTGTGTGTGTGTGTGTGTGCCTGTGGGTCTCTGACAAGGATGCGATCGAGTGTGTGCGAGTGCATCACACCTTGGTACGAGCACATAGCTTCAACTGCTCTCACCCTCATGCTTACTCGTCTACGTTGCTGCTGCATTCACAGACTTTCGCTTCGTCAATGAGAAGAACAAGTACCTGCTCAACGACACGCCGTGCTCGGAGCTGTGGAAAGGCTTCTGGAACTCCAACGCCCGTGGCGTCGAAGGTGTGCGTGCGTGTGTGTGTGTGTCTGTGTCTGTCTGTCTGTTTGTCTGTCTGTCTGTCTGTCTGTCTGTCTGTCTGTCTGTCTGTCTGTGTGCATGTGTGTGTTTCTCTGCTTGTTTTGTTTGTTTTGCTCGACCGTATGAGCGTTCTCCTTACTCGCCTCACGTGTGTGTTTGTCGCACCACACGTGACTCACCAATGCTTTTGTCTCTTCTTGCCTTGCTGTGGTGGCACACGCACAGCCTCGGCTGGCTCATACGTGTGCAAGCGACCAACCCCAACGTCCCCCTGCCATGGTGGTTCATGCAGCAGTGGCGATAAGTGCTATGAGCATTCTGAGCAGGCGCTCTGCTTCTGGGACTGTGACACCGGTGGGCCGTGCTTGTTTGGCAGCACGTGCGTGGACGTTGGTGTTTCCTATGAATGTCAATGCCGTCATGGCTTCTCCGGCGACTTTTGCCAGGTCACACCACCCACAACCACTTCAACCACAACAACAACGACTTCGACGACTACAACGACCACAACGACTACAACGACCACAACCACGACAACAACAACCACAACAACAACCACAACGACTACCACAACAACAACCACAACGACTACCACAACAACAACCACTTCAACAACAACGACAAGTACAACTACAACGACCACAACCACAACCACGTCAACGACCACAACCACGACGACAGCCACAACCACAACCACAACCACAACCACAACCACACTCACGTCTACCTCCACCTCCACTTCAACCTCCACCTCAACCTCCACCTCAACGTCAATGTCAACATCAACATCCACCTCCACTTCAACCTCCACATCAACATCTACCTCCACCTCCACATCAACATCTACCTCCACCTCCACATCATCATCGGCAACAACAACAACAACAACAACAACAACAACAACAACAACAACAACATCAACAACAACAACTTCGACGTCGACATCTTCAAACACAACAACCCCACTGCCAGACAAATCTGCCTCTGCGTCCATCCCTTCCTCCATGGGTGCCATCATTGGCGGTGCCGCTGGTGCACTGTTCATCTGCATCGTCGTCATCGTCGTGCTGCTGGTCCGACGCAAGCGCGACAAGCGGCCGGCACCCTTTGATTCGGAGACACCCGTCTTCCACCGCCAGACGTACCACAACCCCATCTACTCGCCGGATGCAGTGAACGACACGAGGCATTCCATGAGTGGCGTGCCATCGCCACGCGTGCCCGCGCCTTATGCCGGTCGCACGGAGCGAAGCGGCAGCGGCAGCAGGGCGAAGTTGGGCCGTTCCAGCACCCGCGACTACCTCAA